CAAGGGAGCAGCCCCTCCTGAGCACTGGGAATGGGGGAATCCAGTAGGAACATTGCACTTTTCCAGGTAGGTAATTGTTATTTCATATTCACAGCCTAAGCCTCCTGAGGGTTGGTGCCTTGCTGCATTGTGGAAGCTGTTTCCCTTTTCCATCACTCCTGTATTCCTGTTACCTTCTGTGTCCTGCCCCAGGAGGTGATGCAGTGCCTGCAGCTCCATGTAGGCTCTGACTTTTGGTCACAATAATCTAGCACACAGAATCCCAGCCTGGTTTGGGTTGAAGGGACCATAAAGCTCATCCAGCTCCAACCCCTGCCACGGGCAGGGACCCCTTCCACTAGAGCAGCTTGCTCCAAGCCCCTGTGTCCAACCTGGCCTTGAACACTGCCAGGGATGGGGCAGCCACAGCTTCTCTGGGCACCCTGTGCCAGCGCCTCAGCACCCTCACAGGGAAGAGCTTCTGCCTTATCTCCTGCTTCAGGGCATTTCCACAGCTTTTCCTCTCTCTATTGCAATCGGTGCAAGGAATGTGCCTTGATTCCATGCATCACTTTAATTAGAACCAGGCATCATTGCTGATCCCTGCACCTTGGGCTAACGGGAGGGAAGGAGTTAACTGATCCTGTGGGATGGAGGCTGTAATTGCCACTAGGCTTCTCTAAGATGAATGAGCTTCTAAAGACTGCCAGCTTCTGAACGGAGGCAAGGAGGACCAACACCAGCATCGCCTTTTCATAGCCAGCAGCCAGTGGCAGGAGCGCATACGGAGGCAGCGTGGTTCAGCCTGAAATAAACCCTGGAGGTGTCAGGGCAGCGGACAAGGACTGTGCTGGCAGCGTGAAGGTGGAAAAGATGAACTTCTGGATGCTGGGGAAACAAAGAAGGCTGCCAGCCTGGACGTGCGTGTCAGCCTCGCTCCCCTCTTCCAGCCTACGGACCCGGAGACGCTGCGCCTGGGTTGGCTAATAGCTGCTGGCTGGGTTTGGGAAGGCTATCCCAGGCTCCTGCAAAACAGCTGCTGGCTGCGTGGGTCCCACCAGAGACCATCTCCAGTCAGGGACTCGGCCGCCTTTGAACCCAGTGAGAAAACCAGAGAACCAGGTCCAGGGTTTGAGGCTTAGGGGACTATGGAGATGCTGCCCATTCCTGGAACCCCATGGGAGCGGAGACACCATGTCCCAGCGTGGAGGGAGGACGTTCCATAGGGAACGTGGTTTATTAAACACTTCCCACGGGGCAGGATGACTTCCTGGTTGGGAACCATGTATTGGCTGCACTCCTGTGGGTCACTGAGGGGCACTGTGCTGCTTTCCCATGGCCCTGGCATCGCCACCTTCTCTCCATGGGGTCCTACGGCATCGGCCCTGACCCCAAGCAGCTCCTGGAGACCCAAGCAGCAATGGAGACGTTTAAAGCATTGTAAATACTCTTGCAAACAGCTCCACGGAGCAGGGGCACCGGTGCTCGTATGGAGGAGCAACAGCTAAGTTTAAACATCTGGTTCTGTGAATTCCTATATTGTAATAAACGAAGTCTTCCCACAGATTTCACGTCATCTTTGTCTGGGCATCGCTGAACTGTGAAGGGAGAAACTTCTTTTGTGGTTTTCCGAGGAACAAAGAGACATTGTGCATCTGGTGAGGTGTCCTGGCAGCCTCCCGCGCCCTGAGCCTGCATCTCGTGCTGGCAACGTGGTCCTGTGTCCTGGGATGACAACGGCCTGAGCCAGCCTGGAGGGAGACCACGTCCCAGTGCCTGGGGAACGTGAGATCACCTCAAAGACCAACAACAGCAGCCTCCGGACAGGTAGAGGCAGCAGGAAAACGCCCGCAGTCTGGATCCCACCTTTCTGGCCCCTGTTCAAAGGAAAGGGCAGCAAAGAACTTAAAGCAAACGGGTTAAAAACCCAGAGTCTTCATGGAGCCCAGAAAGAGCCATTCCCTGTGGCTCACCCAGCGCCCTGCAGGGAGCAGCCACAAGCAGCTCTGTGTGCAGGGCTGGCAGCACAGGGCACACAGAGCTCCATGCACCTCCTCTGCTGGGACTTGTGCCTTAGCAGCATTCCTGATTCCTCACCCAGATGCTCTTCGGGACCAGAGACCTCACTTTTTGGTTCTGGGGGATCCAGGAGCATCCGATGGTTTCTAGCAGAGGGAGGGATGCGCTGGTCTGGGGTGTGATGCTCAGCCTGCCATGCCCAGTGCTGGCCTTCGCGCAAGGGAGGACAAGCCTGGGACAGCATCCTCCTGCAGGCCTTGTGCAGGTGCTTGTCTTTGGTTGGGAAGCTTTCCCTGGAAAACGTGGATCTGCTGGAGCAGGTGGCTTGGCAGAGGGAGCGGGCACGGAATCCTGCTGGGAAGAAGCTGGATTGGATCACGTTTTCCATTAAGCACGGGGCTGTCTCTATTCCCTGGGAGCAGACCCAGAGCTCTTCATTCCCAGCCTTGGGCAGCAGCATCCCCTGGGCTCCTCCTTCCCCTGCTGCCTGCAATGTGACTGCTCAGGTACTTCGATTATTGCCTCCCAAAGCCAGGATGTGAGAGTGCTTGAGCCCCCAGCAGGCATCCTTTGAGGACAAGGGACTCCCCAGCATCAACAGAGCTGTAAAGAGAGTCCCCTTCTCTGCTGTCTGATTGTCATAACACAGCCTGTAACGCATCACACCCACTCTGTTTATCCATGTTTAAGAGACCCTGGGCTTATCTTAAGTCTACCACTTATGCAGAGAAGAAAGGCCCACGGAGTCTGCTGGAAGTCAGGGGACATTTGGCTGCAGCCACCCCTTGGGGATGATAAATGGCTGATGGGGGAATGCGACAGGAAATGGGATGAACTCGGCTGTAAATGTATGTGGACAAAGTGGGTTTGATGAAACCTGAGCATTACGGGGTGGGGTGGGGGGAATGTGACCCCCATTCCTGAGCCAAGCCTCACCCTCCCCAAGGGCTCCCTGCCCCTATTGCCTGATACAAGCTCCCTTGCATCCCAACAGAGCCGGGAGACCACAACCATAAATCTCCATTTTTCAGTGGGACTAGATTCCATTTAGGCCATTTACCACTCTGTTTGGGAAAAGGGATTTCATTCCTTTGCTTCTTTGTGTCAGGATGGATTTACTGATACCAAACATGTTCCTCACACTTTATTTAGGGCCTAATATGCATCATTTACATTGCCAAGCTGTCACCAGCCTGTCTGAGCTCTATAGGCAGGCAGGCAATGCGTTTCCCCTGCCCCATTGCTCTCCCTGCCAGATGTGGAGCTGTGAGGATAAAGCAGTTAGGAGATCCCTTGATGCAATTTGCCTTTCGGGGGGTTGCTGCTTACTCCCCTCTGTGCAGGGGCCAGGCAGGCTCCGCATGGATGGACACCATTCCCAGGACCACGTCACCTCTAAGCTCTTTGGGAAGGGAACTGATTTTCCCATTAATGGATGCGAAGTGCTGGGTCTGGAGCCCAGCAAAACCTTGCCTTTGTTGGCAGCAGAGGATGGGCTTGGGAGGCACACGAGGCTCTTGGAACCCTCTTACAAGAGCTCATCCTTGGGCTCTCCGTGCCTTGGGGTGTCCTTGCTCCACAAGCAGCATCCTGACTGCTCCAGGCCATGTTTCCTCCTTGCTATGTGATTCAGCAGGGTCTGCCTCCCTGCCACCAGCATCCAGGATGGAGAACACGGAGAGATCCCAAACCAGAGCCATTTTCCACCCAAAAGGAACCTATGGTTTCTTCCAGGGCTCCAGGAACTGAACTGTTCAGCCCTGGGAGCTCTGAAAGCAAAAGGAACAGTGGCTTTAGCGTGATAGATCCCTGATGATAGCACATGAAGGGGAATACAGCCAGGATTTACATTCTGTCCCTGGTTTGGCTGATAGACTTTAGCTGGATGGAGCATCCAAATGGGGTTTGTTCAAATTAAATGGTTGCAAATGTCACTGAGACAGAAAGTTCTTCTACATGCAACAAATGGGATTTACAACTCTAGAAAGCATGCAATAGGCATGCTTTTTCACCTGCTACTGCCTATGAAGGACATTCTTGTCCTGGACTTCTGACTTAGAATATTAAGACCAAAGAGCACCATCCTGCTGAGGCGCCAGGATCTATCCAGAAGGATTTCAGAAAGGCAACGAATGCTTCTTCAATGAATCGAATGAAGCGTTCCTTCCCAGGTGAGCAGCAGAATTACCTGCAGCAGCAGTTGTGAACATCTGGCAACACTGGCACAGGGTGCCCAGAGAAGCTGTGGCTGCCCCATCCCAGGCCAGGTTGGACTCAGGGGCTTGGAGCAAGCTGCTCCAGTGGAAGGGGTCCCTGCCCGTGGCAGGGGTTGGAGCTGGAGGAGCTTTAAGGTCCCTTCCAACCCAAACCAGGCTGGGATTCTGTGGCCTCCATGACCCCAAATCAGAGGCCCTAGAGAAGGAGCATCACAAATCGCCCTCCATCCATGGACAAAGGCAGGAATCCACTTACCCTGCTCTCTTCTGGACGTGGTCCTTTCCGCCCCTGGTAGATGCTCTGCTCCCATGTGGGTGATTTAGGGAGCAGAGCTCAGCACCCCAGGGCTGAGCAGCCTTTCTGCAGCTCAGGTCCCCATTCCATACCTGCACATAACTGGCCTGGCTCCAGACAACTGGATTATCTTCCTGCCTGCTGTTAAATATATAGAGAGGTTAAGCATGTTTAGCCTGGGTCACAGCACTCAGCACCTCGTGGGGCTGTGCTCGCTGTGGGAGGCAGGGGCTGGGGTGGACACTGGGGCAGCCAGCAGCTCTCATCACACGTTCCTCTGCATGAGGAGCCTGTTTCAAACAATGCCTTGTAAGTGCAAAGCTCCATCTCCAGTTACTGCTCCTCTGCATCAGCCAGTCCCCTGCTCCACGTGAGATATGTTTCAAATGATAGCATTTGTCTTTAATAAATGGCCACTCCATAAACTGCCTCCTGTGGGGAACCTGGGGTTTATAAGTAAAACCTGATGTTTCCATTTCATTACGGTGCGTTCGCTCTAAGATGAATCCCAACTCATCCTCTGGTTAATATCAGCCCAAGGTGTGCAGTGGGTTTGTATTACTCGGTATGAAATTCATATTGCTGGGCTTAATCCGTTTCAGATCCCACAGCTGTCTCTGTGCCAGCTTGACCTGGAGCAGGGATGCTCTTCCTTTGCTGGAGTCACCGGCGGCACTGACATTCAGAGGAGATAAAAGCAAGGCTCCTTCCATGACCACAGAAAGCCTGAGGTAGATTTGAGCTTCTTTAGCCCAACGTTTGCCTCGGAATACCTCCTGGGGTGCTTTATCTCTAAGGTCAAACCTGACCCCCTTAAGCACAGCCTTCTGTATGTGTGCAGCTTGGATCTTGACATCGGTCAGCAGAAGACGACCGTTTCCCAACCATTCAGTAGACATCCACCTACAGCTTCACTGGAAAACTCTGCTCATTCAATACAGAACGCATGCAGAGGACAACAAAAGGGCCCAGGTACTGAGCATAGCTGCGTTTGGCTTAAACATAAAGCATGCCCTGAGCGATCCCTGGAAGCCAAGCCTCACGTTTCGCACCATCACTCACGTTCCAGTGCTCCATCACTCAGGTATTTCTAACACAAGCAATGAGATAATCTCTGTCCCATGAGAACTGCTCTGCTGCTGTCTCCCATGGCTTGAAAGGGGAAGCAGAGCACTGCCTCATCCCCTGTTAATCTTTGCAGAGATCCCTTCTCTGACTCAGTCTCACTAGGGACTGAAGATCCCTCAAATGACCTCAAATCAGGTTCAGGAGGGCACCACTGATTTGTGTCAAGAAGAGAAGGCCTCATCTGAAGCTGCAGAGAGCCATAAACAAATGGATAAGAAGAAATATGTATTTTAGCCGCTAACACCCCCAAAGCAGAGTAAATGAATGAAACCACAGAGCAATTGAACCCTCCAGCCTTGAAGAGGGCCCATTTGGGAAAGCCTGGACAGGACAAGCTCCCCCAAACCACTGCCTGCAAGCACGGGGCAGGTCTGCTGCTGCTGAGCAAGGTGGTCTGCAGGGACCCCTTCACAGGCTTGGCTTTGTTCCCTGCTCCCTGGTCCCAACCTGTAGTTTAGTTCCTAGCAACTGCCCTTTGGGGATGGAAAAACTACATAATAAATAAAAGACTGCCCCATTTGAGCTCCATCTGTTGGGGTTTATAACTGTTCTCCTTCTAATTGCCAACTGACAATGTGAATTGCAATTAGCTAATTGCTTGCTAACTTTCCGTTCTAATAATAGGCCTGTTCCAGAGTTATACAAGCTTGGAGGCTGCTGCTGTTCCCTTGCAACTGGCAATAATAAATAATCCCGTATTCGCTCAGCATTGCCCTTCCTTCCAAGTTTCATCCCCATGCAAATTGCTCCAGCATGTACTAATCCCTGACGGGATGGCAGAGGCATCAACAGCGTTTCTTTGCCTCTCATTGCACTGCAGGCTTCAACACTTGCACGATGATGTGGCACCGGGATGCTGCGGCTGCCCTGTGCCTTCGCATGGGAGCTGCCTCTCCATAGGGCTGGGCAGCAGGACCAAGTGTTCTGCATCCCTGGAATTCCATTCCTCCTGTCAATATGGGTTGGCTTTCGTTTGCTTTTGGGAGTTTTGGGGTTTGTTTGTGTTTTTTTGCTTTCCCTTCACAGGATCAGATGTGGCCCTGGCCCCCGCAGTGACATGTTTTATTACCAGTAGCTTCAATAATGTCAGCACAGACCCAAAGCGCAGCGTTAAGGAACCCACGGTCTCCAGCAGCAAAACAAGGTGTACAAGGAGTCTGGATCCTAGTGGGGCTCCTGGTGGGAAGCGGGGTCGGGTTGGGTGCAGAGCCCCAGCATTCCCAACACTGGGAGCATTGGGAGCTCCCTTCCACACGGGTGAACTTCCCTGCACCCCTCTCCAGGCTTTCTCATCTCCACTTGGTTCCTGCTGTGCAGATGCAGCTAATTGAAAAGCAAAGCAAGAGCCTGATCCAGGGAAACCGAGGCCAATGGAATGAGCAACAGCGTTCCCTGGCGCGTGAGGAACTACTGAACGCAGACCTGCCAGCTAGCTGACAGCTCCAGGGACGACACACTAATCTTATTAAACTCGACCCAAAAGAAAAAGCCTTTTTAGAACTGGGGGAGTCGTGTCCAGCGAAAGCTGGGCTGGATTATTCCCTGGTGCCTCGGGGGTTTTTCCATGTCATCCCAAGCCTCAGGAAGGGGATGTGGGATGGGGATGGGATGGTCCGGTCTGCCCAGACCCTGCTGTCCTGCAGGGCTCAGCCCACCTGAAGCTCTGCCTCCTGCAGATGTGGCTAACAGCTGGCAGCAGGAGCTCACCAGCAGGGTCTTCATTAGAGGAACTGTTCTCTGGCTGCCTCAGGTGCCCCCCCCCAACCCAGGCCCCTGCTCCAGACACATCAGCCACAGGCTCCACAACTGCTTCAGATGGCTTTTCCTTGTGTGCGGTTATCTGGACTTTTCCATGCCTTGTTTCTCCCCTGCCCTGCTCCTGACATCTGACTCACTGGGAGATTTATTACCTTTAAAAGCATTCCTTGTGCAAGCCACACTCCAGAGCTCCCATCTTCCTGCTCTCACTCTCAGCCCTGGAGCTCATTTGGGCATAGGTATGAAAACCATACCATGAAACAGAGTTCTCCTTGGCAAAGCCACCACCTCTCTTTGCACAACGCGGAGATTCCTCGAGGGAGGAAAGCTCTTTGTAGAGAACTGACCTGGACCACTCAGGATACCGCTTTCAGCATCTTCCCCTGTCTCAAGCTTGCCATCAGCAGGGATTTCCAGACACTGCCAGGTTCTTGCTCCCCTGTGCCCCGCTATTCCCAGGTTCATCCTCCACACACCTCACTGTCAGACGCTTCTGTGAATGAAACTCCTGTCTTCCTCTTCCCCAGCCCTTTGGGAATGGCTGTGAAGCAGAGATTGATTTCAAGGGCCCAGGAATGAGTGAAAATGCCAAGGTCGTTTGAGCATGAAACAGCACAGAAAAGCCAAGTACAACTCATTGCAAAAGAAAATCATCATAGATGGCAAATTAGGCCTGGTTTTTGAATGGCAGGGATAATGCGTTATTGCAACAGACTGGAGGGAGCCCAGTCTTTTGGACCCATTGATCTCAGAACAAAGTTAATCCATCATTGATCTAACAACCAGTGCAGCCTGTGGAAATCAAGGAGACCTTTACAATTCCTGATGGGTAAACCCCTGGTTTTCTATTCTGCTTTCAAGACAAGCTCTGTTTAAACTTCTTCATCATTACAGTTCCTCCACGAGGAGAGGCAGATGGCGGAGCCCACTTTTGAGGGTAAAATGCAAAGAAAGGCAATGAATGATGGTTATTTGATTTCTCAGGCACAAAAAGCAACTAAAACCTTAGAATTGATTCCAGAATCACAATTCATTCCTGCTCATTCCCAAAACAGGGATGTGATGCTCTCTGCTAGCGCGAGCAGGAAGGATGCTGTTGCTGCTGTCCTTTCCCCACCGCTCAGGTGCACAAGGCAGGAGTGGGCTCTTCTTGCTCAAACGAAGTAGCGAGACACAAGGAATGCAGCCAAAGGAACAGCTTTGCTTACTTCTGCTTTGGCTTCCTCGGCGCGTGTTTTTCCCTCAGCACCGGCTGATGGGTTTCAGGCCGAGGGAACATTAGGAAACGGAAGGGGGAAGGCTGTGACACATCACACGCGGTGCCAAGGAATGGCAGTGACGCACGGCTGCTGGCGGGGACCCTGGTGTGCACCTCACCAGCACCACAGCACGGAGCCACCCTCCGTGAGGACCCTGCTGTCCTCACTGCCCCAGCAGCCCGCAGCCACCCTCGGCCTCCCAGCGCCGGCTGCAGCTTCTCTGCTCACAGAAGCTGGGGATGATACCTGCTGCTCCGCACCTCCCGTGGAGGGGATGCTGCTGGGGCCATGGCAAGGGGGCAAGGTCCGTGGCATCTCTGGAACCTCCCTGTTGAGGGCAGGAAAACCGGCCCTGGCAGCGGCACGGCACAGTTTGTTCCTGGGGCTGGCGGCACGCTGCAGACAGCAGCATCGGTCTGAAGCTGAGCCACAAGCCAGGTCCCGCAGAGGCTGGACCACGCTGCTATCCCCGGGGGAGCATCCCTTCTGCTGTGCCCTATGAGTTCCCCCCAACACTGCCAGGTGCTCTATGAAATGAGGTGGGACCAGCTTGAATTCATCTCCTAAGCTCAGGAGAGAAGAGAAAAGGTCCTATTATGCTTAGTGCAGAGCTGAATCTGGTCTCTGGCTGACAAGTGGCTATGGACGAGACACAAAAATGCTCTAAAGCTGACTGCACCAAATGTTTCTTCTCCACCTAACGCTGTTGTTTGGGATTCGGTTAGGAACAAAACGGCATCTTGTAGTTTTTAATAAAGCTCTTGGCCAACAGTTCAAACACTGGAGGCGGGGGGGAAGAGGGAGAGAGAGGATGAATTTATGGGAGCGGGAGGAGATCATTTGCTTGCTTAAGAATTGGAAAAGATTAATGGTGTGCAAAGGCTCTTGGACTCATTCCTCACATAGCAGAAGGGTGAGGAGGCTTACCGGCTTGATGGGCTGCATTCTGCCTGCCCCAGGTGGGGGTGTCTGCACTGTGGAGAAGAAGGAGCAGGGAGCACATCCCATATCAGCCTGCAGTGAGGAAGGTGGCTGCGGCTGGGGGATGGAGGAGCATGGAATCTCAGAGAGGTTTGCTTTGCTAAGGGCACAAAGCTGTTCCAAGAATCTGAACCTAGGGAAGCTCTCCCTCCTCTCAGCGCCATTTGGCAATGAACGTGAATATGGTAGGTGAATCCAGAGGCAAGGAAAAATGGAAGGAAAAAGAGGGGATTTCCCCAAGTTCACTGAAGAGCCCAAAGCTTTTTTACAATAGCCATAAACCCCTACAAGCCTTGCTGCACGGCAAGTGCAGTGGGGAAGAATGAAGAGCCACTGGATGCACATGGAGAACCCTGACTTCAGCACAAGGCAGAGGCTCTGCTGGAGAGGCAGATGATTGCAGCCTGGCTCAGGCATTGCTTCCAGTCTTCCAAATCTCATCATCCCACTGGACTTCGGGACAACAGAGAACCCTTTTCCCCGGAGGCCCACGCTGAGTGCCGCCTTTAGGCACAAACCATGCGGCTGCATGCAGCTTGCCATACTCCACAACCAAAACAGGATGCTCAGGTCACTCAGTGAGCCACTGACCATATCCCCTGCCTGAAGTAACAGTCACCTCCCCGAAACCAAAGTTATGCTGGAAACTAGATGAGAGGATGGGCAGCGAAACTTGCTTTCCATTGCTGGGTCACCATCAGGGGAACATCGGATACATCTCCTCATTTCTCCGTGCTGCTGTAGCTGGGATATTCCAAGGCAACAGCCCTGCCACTTGGCTGGGTACATGTTTTCATGCCTTCATAGACAGCCATGGAGCACAGTCCGCTATGGAAAACAACGCTCCTGTGCTATTTACGAGTGTCTTGTGCTCAGTGAGGGGTAGAAGGCTGCGGTGATGCTTAAAACGTGGCGGTTTGTGGCAGCAAGGACTTCTCAGAAGGCCGTGATCAGTCGTGTTTTTCCAATGGGATTAGGAAATAGAATGTTTGCTCTGTCTGAGGAGGAATAGGAACTCGGGCAAAACTGCTAAACATGAAAGTTCCTGGACATCTGGAAGGGATTAGTCAGGAAGGTGCCTGGGACAAGGAGTTCAGGCGGGTTCAAGAGACACCTACTGTAGACTTGTTTCCACGGAAGGAGGGAGGAGGAGGGAAAGGGTTGGGGGGAAAAGCAGGAAGGGAGGATTGAAATGAAACCTACGCAGGACCGGCTGATAGGGCGAGCGGTGAGAACAGGCTCTGCTCTGTGGAAGCACAAAGTGCAGAGCAGGAAGCCCTAAAGGGTCTGCTGCAATAGAAGGGGCTGGGGTGGCAACAAAGGACAAACCACGGCGGCAAAGAGCTGGCCAGAGCACTGCTTGTGCCCACCTTTGTGAGGGCAAACAGCTCCCATGCTGAGCATATGGGAAAGCAGAACCCTGCTGCTCAGGCAGATGTGCCCCATGCAACACACATGCACAGGGTTAGATTTTGCCCCCCTTGGTGCTCATCAGGGCAAGAGCTGTGATGAAGTCAAGAGCACTGGAGAAACACTGGAGCGTAGGCAGCTGGGCTCTAGGAACAGAGCTGCACATCCAAGTACTGGGGGCAGAGCTGCACATCCAAGTACTGCAAGCAGAGCTGCACATCCAAGTACTGGGAGCAGAGCTGCACATCCAAGTACTGGGAGCAGAGCTGCACATCCAAGTACTGGGAGCAGAGCTGCACATCCAAGTACTGGGAGCAGAGCTGCACATCCAAGTACTGGGAGCAGAGCTGCACATCCAAGTACTGGGAGCAGAGCTGCACATCCAAGTACTGGGAGCAGAGCTGCACATCCAAGTACTGGGAGCAGAGCTGCACATCCAAGTACTGGGAGCAGAGCTGCACATCCAAGTACTGGGAGCAGAGCTGCACATCCAAGTACTGGGAGCAGAGCTGCACATCCAAGTACTGGGAGCAGAGCTGCACATCCAAGTACTGGGAGCAGAGCTGCACATCCAAGTACTGGGAGCAGAGCTGCACATCCAAGTACTGGGAGCAGAGCTGCACATCCAAGTACTGGGAGCAGAGCTGCACATCCAAGTACTGGGAGCAGAGCTGCACATCCAAGTACTGGGGCAGAGCTGCACATCCAAGTACTGGGAGCAGAGCTGCACATCCAAGTACTGACTGCTGGGTTTCTTTTAGGAGCGGGTAAGTGCTCGTGCAGCCCCTTGGGCCCTGCAAAATCACAAAGGAGTTCTGCTGCAGGCCAAGAGGAAGGCTGAAAACCGCAGGGCCTTGTGAAGCCCACGCTTGGTTTAGGAACCGACTGACTCGTGATGCTTTTTATCGCATATTTCTGCCTTTGACTCACTTTACACTTCAATTCAGGTGCCAAATCCTTTGTGTTTTTTTCCTAACTGGACCCTTGTAGTAAATTCAAGTTTGGGATCCAGGAGCTTGTACTGAAGCAAAGCTTTTGGTTTCAGAAGTCTGGAGTCCTCATTCCTGAAGCGGAACTGAGCAGACACCACTGCACCAGAAGCTGACTTCCACCCTAGATGAGAAAACAAACTACGCAGATAGAAGTCAGATGCTCTCTATAAATGTTTGCGAGTGTTCAAATTCAGGAACTGATTGCAGTTTTCGCTTTCCCTACAAGTGAGGAATAACTGTGTTCAAATTAAGTTAGCAGGAGGCAAAGCTGGAAATCAAAGCGCGAGCTTTGTGTTTCCTGACCATTTTACTTTAACAAGGTAGCTCCAGCTGCTAACTCGGGTTTATTGCACTCCTGAAAGACAGATCTCCAGGCATGAATACTTTAAGAGCCCTGCTCCCCAAAGAAAGGCACTCGGGTTTATCCTTATGGTTCGGTGTATTTTACCAGGGCACCCTGCTGCCTGCCAGGCAGATGCTGCTGCTTTTTCACTCTCCTCCCTCCACTTCCAGTACCCACATAGGCACTGAAACCCTTTGCTGGTGACAGCAGACATGGCTTGCTAATAGTGAACCATGACACAGCTTAACCTTGAATTGCAGAAACAAACTGAGAGTGAGCCAGAGACCTCTGGGATGAGGGAGAGACGTGGGGAGGAAGAGCAGTGCCCACAGCAGGCAGCCTGCCCTGGCTCCCCAGAATCATAGAATCAACCAGGTTGGAAAAGACCTTTGAGATCATCAAACCCA